CCCCCCCCCCCCACAAAAAAACAAAAAAAAAAATGTTTTGGTAGTTCTTTACGTCCCTGTTTTTAGAGTTGAAGGCCTTTTGCGGGTCAGGAGCTCCGGGTGGGGAAGGGCAGGTCAAGTTCGGAAGGTTCGGCCCAGAAAGCTTTAGGGTTTAGGGTCTACTTGGAGATTCATGTGTAGTTATAAGTTGGGTTGTAAGCCCCATAATATGGGTCATAACTATAGTTACCTTACTGATAGCCCAACTTAGGGTTTAAAGTTTAGGGTTTAGGGTTTAGGGTGTAGGGTTTAATCAGTTCTGAAACCACGACGGACCCTCACCACCTGAGCCTCTAGACTCGAAGCCTGTTGAAGAGAGATGTTGGCTCGCAGAATCAGTTTCCACCGCGTCTTGCTTATGCAGCTGCCTGTTGCTGGTATAGGGCCTTCATAATTACCTACACTATTTTGGGGGCCCTCCATATTACAGTTCTAGTATACTATACACCAAAACCCTATTCTAATTATTCAGGCTCCTACACTATAGAACCCATTATAGTAACCCTTATAGGACCCCTTTAAAGGAACCCTTAAGACAACCCTAAACCCTATTCTAATCATCAAGGCCCCTACATGACTGCTCCAGCGATAGGTTACACCATGCTGCCATCTTCCGGAGGAGAGTCCTGGTTGGCACATGCCTTCGAGCAGCTTCACCTCATCTTCATAGCAGTTTAGGGTTTAGGGTTCGGGGTTTAGGGATTAGGGTTTGGAGTGTAGAGTTTAGGGTTTAGGGATTACGGGGAACCTCGGGGATATAGACCCTCTCAATAAGGTCCCCTTTACGAGAGCCGTAAGTAGGGTTCAGAAGGGTCCGCTTGAAGGGGTCTCCCTAATACTACCTGGGACTTGATGTTTGGTATCGAGCCGTCGGCTTGGGGATTTCGGCTTCGAGGGGTTTAGAGTTTATTGGTTTAGGTTTTAGGGTGTAGGGTTTGGGGGTTTAGGGTTTTAGGGGTTTGGGGGCTTAGGGGTTTAGGGTTTGGGGGTTTGGGGTTTAGGGTTTAGTGGTTTAGGGTTTACGGTTTGAGGTCTCCTGCGTCTCGGGCATGGGTATCTTTCGCGAGTGCGGATGTGGACTCTGGAAGCGTCTCCCGCCGGCAACAGCCTGTCCCAGGAGGCCTAGCATCTTTGGAGTCACGGTTCCGGGCTCGGCTTCGGTGTTATCAAAAGCCAGAAACCCGCTGGATTGTCAAAGTCCTGACAGCTCAGAACCTCTTGCCGAACTTTCCGCAGCGTTTACTCTAGCAAGCGAAGCTCTTCTCCAATGTCTGTCTGAGCCAGGAAACAGCAGGAAGCTGTCCAAATCCCTGATTCCTAAATCCTCAGCTTCACGCCGACAAAACGCCAGACCACACAAACCTGGAAAGACAGAAACTTCAGACTATACAGAACCCCAATGTATAGATCCGTATACAGTATACTCCTTATGAAAATCACACCTCATCGAAGTACCCCCCTAAACCCTAAACCCTAAACCCTAAACCCTAAACCCTAAACCCTAAACCCCCAGTTTTCCGAGCCCCACAAGCAAAGGCTTCCCGGGGCCCTGAACTGCAGCGCCATGGAGCTGCGACTGCAGCAAGGATCGGAGAACGGTCTCCTCGGCATCCCAGTGCTTCTTTTGGGCTGAGAGTCTAGGGTGTGGGGTTCAGGGTTTAGGGCTTAAGGTTTGGGGTTCAGGGTTTAAAGCTTAGGGTTTGGCGTTCAGGGTTTAGGGTTCAGGGTTCAGGGCTTAGGGTTTGGGATTTAGGGGCTTAGGTTTAGGGTTTAGGGTTCAGGGTTTAGGGCCTAAGGTTTAGGGTTCAGGGTTTAGGGCTTCGGGTTCAGCGTTTCGGTTTTAGGGTTTATGGGTGTGACAAGCGGTCCTCATGACGATGACCACTGCGGGTCTATGCATTGGTTCCAGAATCTCACCCCGAAACTTCCGAAACAAGTAGGCGGTCGGAGTCTAGGGCGTGTGGGGCCTCTTGGGGGTTTAGGGCTTGGGTTTTGGGTTTAGGGTTTAGGGTTTAGGGTTTAGGGTTTAGGGTTAAGGGTTCAGGGTTTAGGGTTCAGGGTTCAGGGTTCAGGGTTCAGGATTCAGGGTTGTTGTTGGGGCTTTAGGAGGGACCCTGGCTCGGCACCACAGGCTGAAGCAACGGGTTTAGGGTTTAGGGTTTAGGGTGGAGGATTTAAGGTTTAAGTCCCAACACGATGTCAAGGGATCTAGCACGAGGGAATCGCTGCTTCTCCTCCTTTGCATGTCTGCGCAGGCTTCTGATTCTGCGAGCTTAACTTCTGCATTGCAGGGTCAGAAAAATGTTCCATTCTTGAAGAGGGTTCTGTGCCCACAAACATGCCTTCTCTTTTAGTGCCTTAGAGGGTTTAGGGTTGGGCGTCTTTTGTCTTGGTGGTTCAGGTCGCAAGCACACACCCTAAACCCTAACCCCAAACCCTAAACCCTAAACCCTAAACAAGCAGCCTTTCGGCCAGGCCGCGAGGGAGCTGGGGAGAATCTGCTCCCAGCCGGCGGGCTCATGAAGGGCCTCCAGGCAGCTCTGGGGTTTAGGGTTTAGGGTTTAGGGGTCATGCCGGGTCAAACAGCCGGCACCAAAGACATGCCACAAGCACTCCAAACCAGGCCTCGCTGTGGGCCTAAGACCATCCTTACCTCCCGCAGACTTAGACCCCGAAGCCCGACACGACCCTAATGTAGGGGCCTTAATAATCAGAATAGGGTTTTGGGCTCCTTTATAGCATAATTAGAATAAGGAACCTAAGGAATAACATTAGTAATTAGTTGGGAGTTTCCGAAAATAGGGGGTACCTTATTGGGGGTCCTTATAATAAGGATCCTATTATTTGGGGTACTATTGGGGTCCCCCTATTTTCAGAAACCCCCATTTAGGCTTCTACAGCAAGTCCCAAACCCATACAGGTCGCCTCGAGGGCAAAGACGTAAGCATCCTCCACTCGGTCCTGCCGCGAGAACCGGAAGATCAGGGCACCAGAGAGGTCTGGAAAAAAATTAGGGCTTAGGGTTTAGGGTTTAGGGTTTAGGGTTTAGAGAAACGGAGATAAAGAGGGAGAGAGATGGCGAGAGAGAGAAAAAAGAAAGATACTGACATGAGGGAGAGGGGAGACAGAGAGAGAGAGACAGAGACAGAGACGGAGACAGAGACAGAGGAACGAGAACGAGAAAGAGAAAGCGAACGAGAACGAGAACGAAAACGAGAAAGAGAAAGCGAAAGAGAAAAGAGAGAGGGATGGATGTCTCTACATGCGATTACATGTGTGTATATATATATATATGTATGTATGTATGTCTATGGAACGATCGCATTTGCCAGTCGATTCACCGGACAAAACACTGTGGTACAACATGAGCTGCAGGCCAGAAGGCTGTGTGCTTCGACGAGTCACCAGTCACCCATAGCGGGAGCGCGCCTTGCGAATGTATGCCTCCACGACAGCATGTCGAGCAGTGGCTAGCGAAGAGGCTGGAGCCTTCGCCAGCTGTGAAGACTTGTAATTCGGGCTTTAAGGCTCTAGCTGTGAGGGTGCGGTTTAAGGTGCTGGTACAGCGGCCCAACCAGCATTCAACAGAGTCTGGGAGCATTCTGTAGTACAGCTACCTAACTAGCCAGGGACTCAAATCCAATCATATAACTAACCCTAAACCCTAAACCCTAAACCCTAAGTAGTGCTCCGGCCACACACACATCCGCTCTGAAGAAAAGCTCCAGATCTGTCCTGGAAACAGGATTCTCAAACCCTAATATAGGGGGTCTGAAACCGCAGTCATACAAGGCCCCCTGTAGTTCCGTCTGCAACAATATTCTACTGCACTATCGCCCCCAAAACCTATTCTATACCCTAAACCCTAAACCCTAAACCCTAAACCCTAAACCCTAAACCTATAGTTATGATTATGAAGGCTCCTACAAGACCAAGGCCCGGGCCATCTCTGCAAGCCCCCTGACAGAGCCTGGAAGCCGAAAAGCCCTAAAGCCCGGACCCACCCGATCCGACCCTAAACCCCACAAATACTGAAACCCAAAAACCGAAACCCAAGAAAGCCCTACAGAAATCCGAATGCCCAAACGCAAGAAAGCTCTAGAAGAACCCAAATACCCAAATACCCAACCAAAAGAAAGCCAAAAAGGTAGCGCCTCACGGCACTCCTTGCGAAGCAGATCCTCAGAGGAGGCAGAGAAGGGAAGATTCTTTCGAAAACCCTAAACCCCTGAACCCTTAAACTCCTAAGCCCTAAACCCCTGAACCGACCTGCTTTCGCATTTCGGGTTCAGGCTTCAGTGCCTTTGGAGGGCATCAGACTGCCCTGCAATCTCGGGCCCAAAACCGTGCATCAGCCCATCAGCCAATCAACCCTAAACCCCAACCCCGAACCCCTAAACCCCAAACACATGAACCGTAAGCCCGAAACCCCTGAACCCTGAACCCTGAACTCCAAGCCTAAACCCTAAACCCCTAAAACCCAAAAACCCTCAAGCCCTAACCTAATCCCTAAACCACTAAACCCTAAACCCTAAAACCCTAAAACCCCAAACCCGAGCAAAAGCCCAAGACTGCAAACTCTGCTCTGGGGCCAATGCTGCCGCCTTTTCAGCTTCGCCCTCCTCCGGCTTTAGGGTTTAGGGTTCAGGGTTCAGGCTTTAGGGTTTAGGGTTTATTGTTCAGGGTTTAGGGTTTAGGGTTAAGAGTTCAGGGTTCAGTTTAGAGTTCAGGGTTCAGGGTTTAGGGTTTAGGGCCTAGGGTTTACGGTTTAAGGCTCAGGGTTAAAGTTTTAGGAGGGTTTAGTTATCTTTTGGGGGGGGGGGGGTGGGGGGTTAGGGTTTAAATTTTAAGGAGCTTAGGATAAACCCTAAACCCTAAATCCTAAACCCTAAACCCTAAAGCTTTCCAAGGCTTTGAGTTTATGGCCCAGGCTTTGGGACTAGGCTTTCCTGGATGTCAACACTTCTCTGGGGGGCAAAAACATATTTGGGTGGTTGCCAAAATTATGGTCCCCTTTTGGGTCCTAATTATAATACGGCACCTATTATTTAGGGTACCCCAAAAGGGACCCTAATTTTGACAACCACCCATTTGAGCGTTTATGGGTTTCCAACGGTTGGGCGTTTGGGCTTCAGGCTCTTGATGATTATTAGGGGTTTAGGGTTGGGACTTGCAGGTTGTAGCCTACAGTACGTCGAGAAGTGAACTACTACTGGCTTGCACCTGCGCCAGCGCGGTGACGGTCTGCAGCGCCTGCTTGGAGGTTCATGGGTAGTTATAAGTGGAGTAATAAGTAGGGTAACCATAATTATGACCCATATTAGGGGACTTATAACTCCACTTATAACTACCCATGAACCTCCAAGTGCGGTGTGTGCGAGGACCACTGCGATGGGGATCCCGAGCGAACGAGAAGGAGCTTTCCACTTGGGGGATCATGGATGTGGATGGATGTCCCCTAGACCTCAAAACCCAAAACCCACAGTTTAGGGTTTAGGGCTTAGGGTTTAGGGTTTAGGGTTTGGGGTTTGGGGTTTAGGGTTGGGATTGATGAGTTGTGGCGGCTCTGAGCTCAAGCTACGGAAGGGAAGCTTGATAGTTGTAGAGAGGGCCGACATGGGGCTCAGCCGAAAAGCCTCGCGATCTCTTCCATTCAAGGTTTTAGATTTAGGGTTTAGGATTCAACTCAAGCTTCGATGCTACTATGGCTCCCAGCTGTTCCTTCTACTGCCTTGTAGCTTCGTTGAGAAACCTCAAACGCCTAAACCCTAAACCCTGGGCCCTAAACCCTAAACCCTGAAACTGAATAAAACCTCCAGGACTTGGAACTCGAAGACCCCAGACGCAGCCCTGAGCCAAGCTTGGGCAACACATCCTTTTCCAGCACAGTGCAGATCCCTCTCTGTCTGTTACCCGGACCTTCCAGTACAGTATCCCTTAGATAAGGAAGAGACTGTGAATCATGTTAGGGATCTTACTATGATTTAAAGTATATTATACTGGACCCTTAGGGATCTTACTATGACTTAAAGTATGTTCCTTAAGTAAGAAATCTTGGAAGGTCTGGGTATGTCTTCCGTGGGCTTAAGGACATAGCGCTTGCAATGAAGCCGGAGCCTGGGTGCAGGGTGCTACTGGGTGAACGTTTGGGTAATATAGGGGCCTTATTAATTAGAATAGGGTTTTGGGGTATATTCAACTACACTTATAATAAGGAACCCCCAGAATAATATAGGCAATTATTAGGGCCCCTATATTCAGTTCTCTCACATTAGGGTCCCTTTTAGGGTCTCTGTTTTTATAGGGGTGCCGCAATATTTGGGGGACCCAAAGACGGGCCCCAATCTAGAGAACTACCCTGGTAGTACCCTTCTAGCCTATAGTGTAGATCCGCTTAAGGTATCCTAAAAAGGGGGCCGTAATTTAGAGAACTACGGGTAGTTAGAACTGGAGTCTTAAGTCCCCTAATATGGGTTATAACTACAGTTACCCTACTTATAACCCCACTTATAACTACCCATGAACCCTAAACCCTAAACCCTAAACCCTATAACTACCCATGAACCTCCAAGTACCCATTTAGGCGTAGGCTCTTGAGCGGGGTGCGAAAAGCCGGCCCTGGGAAAAATCAACTTCCCGGATGTTGGAAAGGATTCGATAAAGTTCAAGGTTTGGGGTGTAGAGTTTAGGGTTTGGGGTGTAGGGTTTAGGGTTTGGGGTGTAGGGTTTAGGGGTTTAGAGTTCAGGGTTTAGGGTTTAGGGGTTTTGGGGGTTTGGGGCTTAGGGGTTTAGGGGTTTAGAGTTTAGAGGTTTAGGGTTTAGGGTTTAGGGTTCAGGGCCTTTGGAGTCAGTCAGTGTGCTCTCAACGACCCCCGGCTTACTGTGTCGTTTCGGGACGGGCTGTGAGATCCTCCTTGCACTATCTCGCAACCCAACTTGGGAACCCTGAGCTGGAAGTTGCCGAGCTTGACCCCAAGCCCATCTGTGGACGCTTGGCCTGGTTTCTGAAGCCTCGCCCCCGAAAATCAAATCTGTACCCTAAACCCCTAAAACTTCAACACTAAACCCTCCACCCCCTAAAACCCTCACCCCTAACCCTTAACCACGAAGCCCTAAACCCAAAAACCCCAAATTTCCCACCGCGCTCAGACATCCATGCTCCGCCCGGCAGCCATGGCATGGGCAGCCCCTTGCAGGTCAAGGTCGTTTAAGGCAAAGGGTTTCGGGTTTAGGGTTTGGTGATTACGGTATACAAGAGTTTAGCCGGTTCTAGGGCGTGTTTTGTGATTGTTATATACGGGGCATAAAGCGGCATGATTACCAAATATCAGACCCCTGCCTCCTTAGTTAGCTTTCTTAGCTGCTTTTGTCTATCAAGACATGCCGAGCCTACGTCCCAAGCCAAGACAAGCAGCCGTAAGCCCTAAACGGCACGGCACACCGCCGGAAACTTCACATCCAAAAACCCGAGACCCCACTATAAACTCCATGACTGAATACCGGAGCGCTTAAAGTCGGCAGATTGTAGGCTTTAGGGTTTAGATTCGACTTCGAAGCTTGGGGTCTAGGGGAATAGGGTTTAGGGTTTAGGAGTTTTGGGGCTTAGTGTTGGGTATAGGGGTTTAGGATTTAGGAGCTTAACGTCTTGATTTTCTGCAAGTCCCCCCAACGACAACGACGACTACGACTACTAGTATGACGACGACCACAACTACCAGGACGACTACAACTACGCCGACGACCGCGACCACGACTACGACTGCGACGATCACCACCGCCACCACCACCACTGCTAC